GATGCTGCTTGGCCTGCTGTGTTCATCCAGCTCTGCACCTTGTTATCTCAGATTCTCCAGCATCTGCAACATTTTTATCTGTGGCTGAACTTCCCAAATACTGTTTCCAAAGAAACATTATGCATGCAGTAATGAAACAATAGCGTACAATTTCAATTGTAATGCTCTATGAAAACTGGTAGCGGCGAGGGAAATGCTTACATTTGAAATATCACACTCTTTATTGAATTGAGTAATGGTTACGATTACTTTTGTTTGTTATCTATTTGAATAATGTTGCCCTTGTTTAAAGTTGTGCGTTTTACTTTGTGCTGTTGTTGGAGACAAAAACTGTTAGATCTGCCTTATTAGAGATTGAATGTGGCATTGTGAAAATTTGAATTGTTGTGATATATACAGATCAAACAAGATTAGCAAATGCTTTTTATTGAAACATGGAGGAAAAGAATGAAATAGCATTGAAGGAGGCCATTCAACCCAACATACTTGTGCCGCCTCTTTGAAAGAGCTATCTAAATAGTAATTTCTTCAGTTTTTCTCCGCAGCCTGGCAAAGGTTTCCTTTGAAGTGTTATATAATTTGCTTATGAGGAGTCGAATATACCTCTGCTGTCTTTTATAGGCAATACGTTCCAGATCATCATAAATCGTAAAGCAAGTTGCTTCTGATCCTTTTGCCAATCACTTAATCTGTCTGTAGCACTGAACCTTCTGTCACTGCAAACAACTTCCCCTATTTATCTCACAAATATTTTTGAAGATTTTAAACACCTTTCTGAAATCTTCCATTAACCTTTACCATTCTATAAGTACATATATTTATTCAAACAATGCTGTACATGTAACAATGGTAGGATAGAACTTGTCTGAAATGAGTTTGTCTGTTGTTTTCTTCATGGTCTAGATTGGGAGTGAACATTGGCATTTCCCTGGGTCTGTATTTTTAAAGAATATAAAGTCTGAAAATATCTTTCGGTTTCTCTGAAATGCAGGAAAACACTATTAAGAATTCAGATCATAATGTTGGTGCTGATGGTGTCTGCAATAAGCAATTACATACACTGTTGAGTTTTTATTAGATTAAATATATGTAAGGCTATGAGTGAAAGAGAATTTTTTTTGAAAAAAAAAATTCTCCTTGGGACATGGGCTTTACTGGCTGGCTGGTGTTTCACTACCTGCCCATGAGAATTGCCTTGTTGAAATACTGCAGTTCATGTGCTGTAGGTAGACCCACATTTCCCTTGGGGAGAGAATTTCTGAATTCTGACCCAGGGGCAGTGAAAGAATGGCAATATGTTTCCAAGTCAGGATGGTAAGTGGCTTCTAAGGGAGTCTGCAGGTGGTAGTGTTCCCGTGTATCTGACGTCCTTGTCCTTTTAGATGGTATTGGTTGTGAGTTTAGACAGTGCTGTCTAAGGATGTTTAGCGAATTTCTGTTGTGCATCTCGTGTACGGTACACACTGCTGCCACTGAGCATCGGTGGTGGAGGGAGCAGATGTTTGTGGATGTGGTGTTAATCAAGTGGGCTACTTTGTCTTGGATGGTGTCAAGCTTCTCAAGTGTTGTTGGAGCTGCACTCTTCCGGGTAAGTGGGCAGTATTTTGTCAAACTCCTGATTTGTGCCTTTTAGATAAATGGTGGACATGCTTTAGGGAGTCAAAAGGTGAGTTACTTACTGCAGTATTCCTAGCCACTGTATTTATGTGGCAAGTCCATTTAAGGCATTGAATGATTTCCTGGGCACTTATGGGAAATAGTTTGAACTGTAACCTCCGCAGTAACCACCCTTTGTAAGCATATACCTGGCTATATATAAAGATGTTTGTGGCCCTAGAAGACACATTCATTGTGCAGCAAATTGATTATCTGTCTATATCACAATATTCTCCAAGAGCTCTTTAGTGCCATACATTTTTGAAAGAAGTGCTGACTCTCCTTGCCTTGCCAGATCTGTTGCTTAGACTGAGTTGCCATATGTCCACTGTGGCATTTGATACTGAATATCATTGCCACGCCATTCCACTTCTGTTGTGCTTTAAGCCAGTGCTATTCTTTACTACACTCTGTCAGCTAGCCTTCAGGGAGAAGAGCTTACAGACCTTCCTCTATGGAGAGAAACCTTCTACCTGCTTTGCCTACCTCCAAGGCTTGCTTCACTGTAACTGTTGTTAATTAACTGTTCTGCAACAAAAATCTTTTTGTTTTGTTGTCTTGTAGCTATTGTCCATTTCTGCACTGTTTCCGTTCCCCAATCCCAAGCTTCTAATGCATTGTAACATAAATGTGCTTTCAAAATTAAAGCTTATGTATTAGAGGGTATGGCAGCAAAGACGAAATTGGCTAAGAAACATCGAGCAGAAAATAGTAGTAAATGGTTGTTTCATACTACGGGGAGGTATGGTTGTGGGCGGGAGGGGGGGGTATTAGAACCACTGCTCTTTTTCATTTATATCTTGACCTGGACTTGGGGTTGGGAAAAGGAGGTGCAGTTTTTTTTTTGAAGTATGCAGATGACGCAGAGCTAATAAACAGTGAAGATAATTGTAACTCCCTATTAGAACAGCATAGACTGGTGAATTGAGCAGACAATTGATGGGTAAAGTTTAATGCAATCAAGGAAGAAATAATCCATTTTGGTTAGTAATAATGTAGAGAGGCAAATTATATGGTTCAATTTTAAAGCAAATGCAGGTATGATCTTTAAGGTGTTAAAAGAAGTTGATATACCTGTCAAAATGTATGGGATCCCCAGTTTTCTAACTAATGACAAAGCAGATGAAACAAAGTTATTTTAAACATATATAAATTATTGATGGGACGGTAACTAGAGAATGTTGCTCAAGTTTGGACATAACAATTTAGGAAGGGCATCAGACCTTTGCAACAGTCCAGAGGAAATATGCTGGAATTTGCCTAGTATTTGTGTGACTTTAACTAAGTGGAGTGGCCAGAGAAGCAGGCCTTTTCTTTTGAAGCAAGAAGAGATTTGTGTGAGATTCGAAAGCAATGTTCAAAATCATGAAATTTTTAAACAAAATAAAAGATTTTTTCCCCCCTAAGGGTGTGTTGGTAACTAAAGGGCACCAATTTGTTTTGGTATTAGTCCCAGAGGGAAGCTACATATTAATTTTTGCTTGGTGAGTTGTTAGCATCTTGAACATACTGTTCTAAAAGCTTGTGAAACAGACTTACTGATAACATTCAAAAGGGATTTGAATTTAACCTTGAAGAGGAAATGGACTGGCTATCGCAAAAGAATGGAACCAATTGAATAGGTCTGTCAGCAGTTGGCACAGTTCTCCTTTGCTGCACAGTTCTATGAATGCATGATTATAAAATAAGAAACTTATGATTTTTAATAATTAGCTTGATTCCAAACACCGCAACATGTCCATTTCTCTCTCGTGGCTGCAGTGACATTCTCTTAATTTTTTTGTAATATTTCTTTTCTAGAACAGAAACTTTAGACTAGGGTATACCTTTGTCCTAGTTAAATAATGTGCAAATCAGATATTTTTTCTTTGTGATTCATATTATGGTATCTACTGATAAGTAAGCTAAAAAGGAATTAGCAAGACACACACTATATGATTTTTTGACTTCTTATTCCATTATGTGCATTTAACCAAACACTGCGAAACAGAATTCACTAGCCATGTTCATTATAGTAATTTTAATGCATTTATTTGTACATTTATTTAAGCAATAGAAAAAAGTAAGAATATTGACAGAAAGTGGATTTTGTAGTTTGGATTGCTTTGGACGCCACAAAATCTGGAACTGTGACTACATTGTGACCAATGCTTTAATGCTGTACCAGCAACATTAAGGTACCTGCTCAGCATTCACATCGACCTCTCGTCAAATTTAACAATCTCCCTCTACTCGTAAACCAAAGCTCATGAGTGTTGTAAATGTACTGTGAATTGTGATGATGTCTTATGAAATGAGCACTGCTTGCTTATATTGCTAACAGGAGTATCTGGACCAGACTCAAATAGTGTTGAATTCAACAGAGACCACCCTGCAGCAGCTGACAGCTTTGGTCGATTGCCGTAGTCTTCACATGGTGAGTGTTCAAGGTGATGTGAAACTGCAAAGAGAAACTCAGTATTGGGTTCCCAGAATACATAATTGCTGTTCATGTCTTCTGAAGTCACAGTTTGTCACTCAGAACTGAAATTGCTGGAGAAACTCAGCAGGTCTGTCAACATCTGTGGAGAGAAACAAAGTTAACTTTTCGGGTCCAGTGACAGCCCTTCAGAATGCTTCTGTAGAAACATCACTGGATTCGCAAAGTTAAGTCTGCTTTAACTTCACAGATGCTGCCAGACCTGCTGAGTTTCTCCAGCATTTTGTTGTTGTTTCTGATTTCCAGCATCCACAATTCTTTGCTTTATTATGGTATGTCACTGTTGCTCTTTTCTTCTCAATATGTAATCATAGCATTAAAAAATCCTTGCAGTGCAGAAAGAGGTCATTCAGCCCATCGAGTCTGCGCCAACCCTTTGAAGAGCATCCCAGCCAGACCCTGCCCCCACCTTCTCTCCATAACCTCCATTTACAGTGGCTAACCTACCTAGCTTACACATCCATGGACACTTTGGGGCAATTTAGCATGGCAAGTGCAGTAACCTGCACATTTTTGGACTGAGGGAGGAAACCAGAGCACCCGGAGGAAATCCACGTAGATAAGGAGAGACTGTGCAAACTCCACACAGAAGTGTAATGTCAGTATCAACTTTTGAGATTTGAAGACAGTCTTATAACAGGCACCAGGCCCAGTTGATCTAAGAAGTAGTGTAAATTTAATGAACCTTCTGGCAAGCACCAAATTGCTCCAGTGCAGTATTTATAAAGCTGTTTGCCTTCATGACAATGCTGTTGGGTTTTCTCATGACACCTCAAACTCCAAGTAGCTATATTTTAATGGAATAAAATAAAAACTGAAGTACAATGTGAAATCTTTTTAATGGCACAGTTTATTAACTGTGGTAAAGATTTTTATTTAACTGTGTATTTGGGAGTATTCACAGCCAATGTAACCTATTTCAGACCGATGATGTCAAATGACTCACTGATTAACACACATTCAGATGGATTCTTAGAGAGGTTTTGACCACTTGACAGGGTTTAGAATGGAATTTTTTCTTGTTGACACCAGATTTATTTTTTCTTTTTGGCTCTCCCACAAAATTACATTTAGTGAGGCGAACTGGTAGGAATTATCTCATCATGAGCCACCAGCCGTCATCAGTGGGGTCAGGATTGTTACTCTAGCTTGGTTTTTTTTGCCCACCATTTTCATATGTTCATGCCTGTGTGCAACTGATACATCCATTACCTACTGCAGACTGTATTCCAACCACTGCACTATTAACACCCCCAAAAGTATACCACTTCAAACTGGTAGCACAAAACAAAAAGTAGAATATGTATGCATGATCATCACAGACCACCCACTATTTGCTTAAGCATTCTTACACAAAAGAAGAATTTGGGAAGAAGAGTGGTCTATCTTTGAAGCGATTTGTTGCTGCCTCTGAAGAATTATATAAAATATAAATGCAGCATTGACAGTTTTGCTTAGGTAGATTCTACAATTTTGAATAATTAAAGTTTATTTTAATGCAAGTAATATATCTAAGATAAAATGGAAACCTTCCTGAAATTGGAGTTGATTACAGTGCACAGTTTTTGTGCAGGCAGAAATATGACATTGGAGGTGATAGCCTAGTGGTATTATCACTGGACTGTTAATCCAGAGACTCGGATAATGTTCTGGGCGAGTCCTGCCATGGCAGATGGTGGAATTTGAATTCTATAAAATATCTAGAATTAAGAGTCTAATGATGACTGTGAATCCATTGTCAATTATTGGAAAAACACTAATGTCCTTCAGGGAAGGAAACTGCCATCCTCACCTGGTCTGGCCTACATGTGACTCCAGACCCACAGTAATGTGGTCAACTCTCAACTGCCCTCTGGGCATTTACAGATGGGCAATAAATGCTGCTTAGCCAGCGATGCCCTAATCCTGTGAATGAATAAAAAAAATTTAAAATAGATCACGTTAGCAAAAGTTTGGTCAAAGAGGTTTTTGTATCTTGAAAGAAGAGAAGCTTAAAGTGAAAAGTTTGGAGCTTGGGATCTGTGTAGCTAAAGGTACAGCCACGAACTGTGGAGTGAAAATCAGGAGTGCAGAAGTGACTTCAGTTGAAGTGAATTCAGATTTTTGTGATGATGGAGGATGTTACAATTGTAGAGGAAATGAATGGTTTAGTTTTCAGGGCTAGGCTATTCAACAGTGAACATTGGTGACATTTTCCAATTTTATCTCCAATATGTGAAAGCCTTGCTGACTTCTATAAATAAAGTCGGAAGTAAATCAAACACGGCCTCTGCTGTTTTCCCTATCTATGTATTACAACTCTGAACACCGAATATATTTTGCAGATAACCAAGTCTGCAATAATTAACGAAAGCACACAGAATTTTTGCTGTACTTCTTTTTGAAATTTGCTGTTTGTGTTTTCCTTCTGGTTTTCTTGCTGCTTCTCTTGATTACACATTCCTCGAATATGCTATTTGAATATCTACATAGTTCAGTATTTCATCCATGTGACAATTTATGCAAGAGTCTTTGTGGATCACTTTAATATCTGGGGGACCCTAACTGACCTTGAGGTCATGTCCTTTATCACTGGTCACACAAACATGGGAGTTCTGACCTGTGATTGTCCTTCTGTTTTTGATGTCTTGTTTTTCTCCCTTGTTTTTGGCAGGATTATGTGCAGGCTCTGACAGGACTATGCTATGATGGTGTGGAGGGTCTAATTTATTTGGTTCTATTCTCCTTTGTAACTGCACTGATGCTGAGTTCTATTGTCTGCAGTGTTCCTCATACCTGGAAGCAGAGCAAGAGGTACAGTAATAACTTTATATATTTGTATTTAATAAATATTTTTTAAGCTGAAGTGGAGATATAGTTACTGAGTAATTAGCTCCAATCTTTTTTACACTTTGTAGGGTTTAAGGCAAATGCACATAAAAATTGTCTTCAACATAAGTTATGGCTTCTAAACAGAAATCAATTAAAAGTCGACAAATGAAATAAAATTACTTGTTATTTGAGCAGATAAATGTGTATGTCAAATTTCCATAATTATTACATAACTAAATGTAATTCCTTTGTAGTGAAATGTTGGCGGGGATGGAATGAAAAGTGAATCACTCAAAAAAAAAAATTGTCTTATTGTACTTACTGAGTTGTTTAACCCTTCATAAGAAAATAGTCAACTCCAATCACATTTAGCACTATATTTTAAGCTTCAGTTAAATTTCAGTGATGAAATTGTGTCTGAAAGAGTACTGATATTAGCAGGGGTGTGGTGAAATTGGGCTCTATGTGCCAGCTCTTTGAATACGGTGACATCTCATGAGCAATGAAAATGATGTCCATGCCATGCATGTGCTTCAAATGGTTACAGCACCAGATGCCATATTTGCACAGGAGTCTGTGGATGTACACCTGACTGTTGACATGTGCACAGCAGGCAGAGCTTAATATCAGAGAGTGGGTATCACTAATTTGATGTTAGCTTTAACATTTTTGAGGTCTACGTGCCTCTGCCGTCTCTCAATGTCTGTGTGTTTAATGGCATTTCACTCGATCTAGTCTGCTGTAGTTACTGTTCACAAAGTAATCCCCTCTACACTGGAGAGATGAAATGCAGACTGGGCGACCAATTTACAGAAAACTACATTCTGTCCACAAAATGACCCTGAGCTCTGGAGGCCTGCCACTTCAATACACCACTGTGCTCCCTGGCCAACATCTCTGTCTCCGGCTTGCTGCAGTGCTCCAGTGAAGCTCAGCGAAAGCTGTAAGAAGAGCACCTCATTTCCTTGGGAATCCTGCAGCCTTCTGGACTCAATATTGAGTTCAATAATTTTAGGAACTGAACACCTTGTGCCATGTCCCTTACCCACCCCACAGCTCAGGCCCTGTAATGACAACAGCTGCTTTCAACACGTTCAATCCTCTTGCACCTACTGATAGTCCCTATTATCAGCTTTCTCCCTAGCGTATTATCATCCATCCTTTTGTCTCCTTTCTATCATTTACTCTCTCTTTCTCTAGGTTCCATCCCAGCTTATGCATTCACTAATTCCACCATCACCAGCCCCTCCATCCCTTTCTTAAGTATAAATACCACCCTTTCCTAGCTATTATCAGTTCTAAAGAACAGTTACAATACGCAATACGCAAAACGTTAACTCTGCTTTCTCTCCACAGATGCTGCCAGACCTGCTGAGTTTTTCCAGGAATTTCTGGTTTTGTTTCATCATCTGCAGTACTTGGTAGCCTTTCAGTATTGTGTAGGACAGTTCAATATACATGGGGTTTAGAGGGTGAATTCACCCTGGGTATGTCCAGTTGCTCAGTAAAGTTCAATCAAGGGGGTGACCATTCAGTGAAAAGTCATTCTTGTAGCTGAATAGTCAGAATCTGAGGAGCTGCTCCTCCAATCACAGGCTGATTCTCTCTCCGGTTTGATACTGATAGGTTCACCATGAGCTCCTTGGTAACAAAGACGGGAAGGAAGCGGCATGTGATTGGAGGAGCAGCAAAAAGGTGAATGGTGGCAGTGACTAAGTCTCTGGAAGCTGAAGCAAGTGGGGCCATTAGAAGCAGCTGGGTGAAGTAGGACTGATGAAGCCAGAGGTAATGAAACCAGAGACTAGGACAGCGAGAGTAAATGGAGAGTGAGACTGGCAAGACCAAAGCATGGGGGTTCTGCGGACAGTGAGAGAAACTGCAAAGGTGGGGAGGATGGTGAGATTGACTGCAAAGCAGGGGTACAGGAGCAGCAAAGATGGGAAAGCAGTTTCAATAGGATTAGTGAATTGTCTGAGCATTATCTTCTTTACAGTGTTCAATTTACAAATAACATACTACCAAACAGTTTTATTTCATTATGATTTACATATATGCATTATCACATCTCAAATTGTCTAACATATTTAGAAATATTTAGTGCTCAATTCAATCCTGCCCTTTTGATCTAGATGAGTACATTATTCAATACTATACTTTGCACACTGGTAAACTGGATCTTACCACTTTGCTTTATGTTAACTGGATGTTTCAAAATTTATATAATCTGATGTCAGCTTGGGCAAGAAAGTAGCATTGTACTTGCTGTGCAAGCTATTGTATAATTAGTTGGTTAGTTCAGTTGGCTGGACAACTGGTTTGTTATGCAGAGTGACACTAACAGTGTGAGTTCAATTCTCACTGAGGTTACCATGCCGGACCCCTCTCCTCAACCTCTCCCCTCACATGAGGCATCGTAACCCTCCGGTTATACTCACCACCAGTCATGTCTCTCAAATGAGAGGGCAGCCCTATAATCCTACAGGGCTATGGTGACATTACCCTTTTTCTTTATTCTGTAATGTTTCACCCTATTAGTCCCAAACTCCATGTAGATAACCTTTTGAGAACCAACAGATAATGTCATTCAACTGAACTGAACAGAAAAAAAATTTTTAAATGTGAGACTAATCATTAAGGAGTTATGATGAACATGGAAAAAAGAACCTATTTGGCTGCAGTCTGCTGTATTGTACTAGTGTTCAGATTACATCCTGTGTGCCATATGCAGACCTAACCTCTGACAGCTCCGATGTATTTCACATTTATTATCTTATTTCTTTTCTGTTCAAAATTTGCACGCCTAGAGATTTACACAAGACCCTTTACAGTATAGTTGGCTGATAAATCTAAATCGGCAAATTAATGGGAACATTCAGTTTTTTTTAACATGGCCTGCAAGATTCCACGACATTCAGCCTGCAAAGACCCAAAGCTTTCACGTTGCTGCAGTGACACATTGACTGTTGTGTGGTGAAGCATCAGCAGTGCTGTTGCACCCTCTAGTGGTAAACCGCACAGTATTTATGTTTGGAACCTATGCAGAATATTCAGGTTCTTATGGTGCAATGATAATATCCCTACCTCTGCATCAGGGGACCTGGGTTCAAGTCCCACCTGCTCCAGAGGTGTCATAACATCTCTGAATATAACTATTTGAAAATATCTCTACAGGATATCATCATAGAATCCCACCAGTGTGGAAACAGGCTATTCAGTTCCACAAGCCCACACTCACGAGCATCCCTCCCAGACACTTCTCCCCCCCTACTCTGTTCCTGTAACCTGCATTTGCCATGGCCAATCCACCTAACCTACACATCCCTGGACACTATGGGCAATTTAGCATGGCCAGTCCACCGAACCTGCACATCTTTGGACCATGGGAGGAAACCCAGAGAAAACCCACGCGGACACGGGGAGAATGTGCAAACTGCACACAGACTGTCGCCTGAGGGTGGAATTGAACTCGGGTCCCTGGCACTGTGAGGCAGCAGTGCTAACCACTGAGCCACCAGCCCACCCTTAGGGCAGGGCTTTCTGCTTCTTCCTGAAAAAAGGTCTGAACCCACTCCATCCACCACTACCCTCCTCTGCCTGGCTGAGCTTGTCCTCCCTTTGAACAACTTTTCCTTTAACTCCAACTTTCTTCAGGTCAGGGATGTGGCCATGGATGCCCACATGGGCCCCAGTTATGCCTGTCTATGAGGAACAATCATGGTTTCAGTCCTGCTCTGACCTTGCTACATCAATGACATCATCAGCTCTGCTTCTTCCTTTCATCCGTAACTGGAAAAATTTCTCATTTTTGCTTCCAATTTCCATCCTGCCCTCACCTTCACCTGGCCTATCTCTTACTCTTCCCTTGTGTTCCTCCATTTCTGGAGATAGGTTGGCCACCAATATCCACTATGAGCCCACCAACTCCCACAGTTACCTTGAATATACATCGTCACACCCTGCTTCCTGTAATGATTCTTTCCATTCACCTAGTTTCTCTGTCGCATCTGTTCTGATGATGCCAGCTTCTACAAAGGGGCCTCCAAAATGTCTGCCTTCTTCCTCAACTGAGGATTGCCCAGCACCATGGTTGACAGGACCCTCAATTTGTCTGACCTGCCTCCTGCACTTCGACCCTCACCCCTTCCCCTTCCTTTCTAAAAAAGCAATAGGGTGGTCCCCCTTGTCCTCATCTACCTTCTCTCCGGCATCCACATCCAACAGATTGACATGCTGCCATTTCTGCCACCTCCAGCAGGATGCCACCACCAGACACACAGAAGTTTCCTCTTCCTTGTCAACCTTCCACTGGCCCCTTTAGGACACCCTAGTCCACTCCTGATCGACTCCCAATGACTCCCCACACCCTTTCAGTAGCTTCCCATGAAATCACAGAAGGTACAAAACCTGCCTGTTTACTTCCTCTCTTCTCACTATCCAAGGCCCCAGACACACCTTCCACTTAATCTAGTCCACTACATTTACTGCTCACAATGTGTTCTCCTCTACATTGGGGAGACAGAACACAGACTAGGTGACTGTTTTGCAGAAACCTATGTTTCGTCCGCAAAAAAGACCCTGAGCTTCAACATCCCACCTTGTTCCCTGGCCAACATCTCTGTCTCAAGCTTACTCCAATGAAGTTCAGTGCAAGCTGGAAGAAGAGCACCTCATTCTCCACTTGAGAATCCTACAGCCTTCTGGACTCAATATCATGTTCAACAGTTTCAGGTCTTGAGCATCTTATTCCATGTCCTAGCCCCAAACTCCACACATCAGACTTTATCATCACATGCGCTGCTACCTCAAATGACCCTTTGTTAGCCACTAATTCACTAATTGTCCCCATTTGCAGCTTTTCATTCTCCCAGGCAGCCTTTACCCATTCCTCTGTCGGCTCAACTTTCTCTCCGGCCGGCTGTCTGTCTGTCTCTCCCTCTCTCTCTCTATACGTTCCATTGACTTCTCACTCATCTCCCTCTATGCCACCCTTTGAGAGAGTGCATTTTCCAGATCATCCTGATTTACAAATTTTAAAATAAGGCTCATCGCCTGAGGTTCTTTGGCCCCACCTCTTTGTCTGTGTCTTCTGGTTATTGACCCTTATGCAACCGATAATTTCTCCTTATCAAAGCTCTTTAATATTTTGAACATATCTATCACCTATCTCTCTCACCTACTTTGCTCTGAGAATGCCACCAATTTCTGTAGTCTGTCCATGTAACTGAAATCTTTCATCTTTGGTACAGTTCTGTTTAATCTTCTCTGCAATCCATCTAGGATCTAATTTTTTTTTGTCAGCCTCTCAACTTTCCTAGTCATCTTTCAAAATCTTGTCAGGTCATTTCAGGACTCTGTTCCAGTGTCACTTTTAAACTGATACCATTTACTGTGCCACGTATGAAATACCATATATTCTCAATTAAAAGTCAAATTTATTTGATCAGTTCTTTAGGCCAAGAATCAGGGTTCAAAAGCACACAGTTCACCTGCTCTTGGACCAGTTGAGTTCCTTAAAGTGAGCAATAATGGCTTCCTCTGTTATTGCTGGTATTTTACCAGCAGCAGGGTTCCCATGCCAATTGGTGAGGCTGCCATGGCATTTATGGCATTGGGGAGGGATCCCTCCTGTTCCGACACTCTGTAACCAGTGGAGCCCCATGTGAGTTACCCCTGCCTGCCCTGCTGATCAGAGACTGTTCTTCACCTTGCTGAGGCTCTTTTTCCCTGTCAAAATGGTGCGAAATGTACACCAGAATGAATATGTTAAATCCAAGAAATTTGTATGGAAGCATTAATTTAAATAAAAGTGCCACGTCTGATGTTGATGTTGTTTGGATTTCCCTTTCTGAAAGTAGTCATGTTGATGATGATGGAGATGAGGATATTGTGAGCCCACAAGGAAACCGCCAACAGCATGACAACCTGTACAGAGTTCACATGCCTAGCCTGTACAGCTGTGGGAGTAGTTTTGGTAGTGAGACCAGTATTCCTGCTGCAGCACATACAGTCAGCAATGCTCCTGTTACAGAATACATGTAAGTGACAGAATCACCTCCTCTTCTAGTTCCTGTATGCCATTTTGCTTTTCCCTTCCTTCTGCCTCAAATTAAACTGACATTTTGAAACCAAAGTGAGACGTGTTAAATTATGTATTTGTTTTCCTATTTATTTTGTAACCGGTTTATAAGAATGTTAAATTATAATCCTTAGAGTCATGTTGAGGTGGGAACCCAAATTAGCTATCTAAGTGTTTTTTTTTAATTTACTGTCACTGATCTGACAATTTATTAAAAGAAGTGATAACTTTACTAGGTGATGTTTAAGTAGATTGGAATTCCTTGCGTTTCCATCTGAATTTTTTTCCCCAGTTTGAAACGTCAATGATATCTATTTTTGAAGAGGTGCAAACTGAGGTGCCAGAGTGTAACTTGTAGTTATCATGGAGCCATGACTTATCTGGATTCTGGCCTAAAGTAAAATCTGCTTTTTTGCTGCCTTTCAAAAATCAACCATAATGATTTCCGTTCTGAGTAGCAGTGCCTCTTTTATTGTAAATTGTTTCAAGAAAGTAATTGGTCCATGGAAATCACAGCTTTAAATACAAACTTCATTGTAAATGTTTTAACTCCGGTACAATAATTTGAAGGTTAAGATGTGTACTTTTTAACATATATAGCTTCAGAGTGTCTCCAAGACAGTTTAATATTGCATCCTGCTGTTTTCTCGATCATAGATCATAGAATCCCTACAGTGTGGAAACAGGCCCTTCGGCCCAACAAGTCTACACCGACTCTCAGAGCATCCCGCCCAGACCCACCCCCTATAACCCACCTAATCTGCACATCCCTGAATACTACGGGCAATTTAGCATGGCCACCAAATGTGATTAGAGTAGCTTTGGAAAGAGAGAGACTACACAAAAGCCTTCTAAACCTGCAAATTCGTAGGTGTTTTCTTAAGAAAGTAAATTTTAGAAGTGTTTATTATTTTGTCGTATAAAATGAAGAAGTGCTGTGTACAGAATTGTTTTCCTAAATCTCTTGTGCCTTTTTCTATATAATATGGATATTCAAATAAAGTAGGGTGACTTAAATTCCATTAAGATCAATTTACTTAGACTGTATCCAGTACATGTTTAATTATGAAACAAATGTAACTGTTCTGTTTTTCTTCTTTAATTAAACAGGAGCCAGAACACAACTTACCAGAATCCCCGTTGTGAGAACACACCTCTGATTGGCAGAGAATCTCCTCCTCCCTCTGTAAGTTAATATACCTCTTTACTTTCACACTGAAAGTAGATTTAAGCCTGATTTAAAATTAGTCCAAAGCATTAGAAAACTATAATTTGCTGTACAGTAGACTTGACCAATGAAATATCTTTTTAAAAAAGGAATACTTGTTCACCTAGAATTTTTAAATGACACTAATACCATCACTTTATGCATTTGCATAGTATCCTGGTGCTGGAAGAAGTACACTGCAGATTTTTGAAGAGTGTGGTGCATTAGAGCTTGTAGTATACTCTAACAAAGGGTTTTCATGTTGCACAAATTTCCTATATTAGAACAAGCATATAAATGAAGCACCATTCGTCAAAAATTTGTCACATAGTTATTAGAGATGGTAGGATAACGCAAAATCTGACTACACTAGCCCCTTGCTATAACATTGTCTAGTGTGCCACAACCTGTCCGATAACGCATATTCCTTATGGCTCCCTCTCTATAGGGGAACCATATAAAAGACTATCTCCAACACACTCGTCAGTATAGCGAGCTTTTTGTGTGACTGCAAAAGACAACTTTATAGAGAGGGTCTAGTGTGTACTGGTAAGTGGTGTTTTATCTTGCCAAGTTTAATTAATTAGTTTTCTATTTTAAGTTTGACTATTGATGATTTGCATATGACTTCAGTTTAATCCTTTGAGTACAGGGTAGTATTTTGCACCATTCAAGTGCTTAAAATTCCAGCAAAATGTCCAAATTTAAATCAGTGTGCATTGCTTGATAGGATTTTAATTATTGATCAGGATATTTTAAAGGTGCAGAATAGATAAAGGTCTTAAAGGATTGAAATGTCAAAGGAAAGAGTGAGAAATGCTGCACAGATGATGGCAGTCAAAAGTTACTATCTCTTTGCTTTCAAAATCCACTTGTGTATTTATTTGTATTAATAATTAATAAAACAATAAATAATGGTATGTATTATTTACAGTAATTTCTATATTGATGAATTGCTGTATGAAGATTATCAGGATAGCGTATTGTTAAATTTAACAATATGGGGATCAACATTTATCTAATTCAGTTTTTGCATTTAAAAGGATATGATGCAACCTTTTTGAAGTGAAAAAAACAACAAAAGTTTGAATTGACAACACACCATTGATTGGAAAGAAGTATTAGGATATCCTAATTTAGAATGTATTTTGACACTATTTTCTATTTAAATTTTATTTCTTTCTGTTTGGCTGAGAGTTTTTAATAACTCCCCTTCCAATTTCTGTACTGTTTTTGCAAAGGTTTATGGTCTTTATGTAGAATCCTTAGAAAGAGGGATTTCATGATCTTTTTATGCAGAAAGAGAGCATTTGACCCATCAAGTCTGCACCAATATTCCAGTGAGCACCCCACCTCCTTGTGGGGTTTTTACCATTGCTTCACCCACCTAACCTGCATGTCCCTGGACACTATGGGGCATTTTTTTTTTAGCATGGCCAATCCACCTAACCTTTGGACAGTGGAAGGATACCACAGAGGACCAGCAGGAAACCCATGCAGACACTGGGAGAACATGCAAACTCCACACAGTCACTCACGGCTAGAATCAAACCCAGGTGTGAGGGAGCAGTGCTAACCACTGTGCTGCTGTGCTGCCCTGTGTATATATTAGACATAAGCTCTTGCAACTCTTGGGAATATCTGGCAAATAAAGACTACCCAAATGTCTTGACATGGCTTTAGAACCTTTCCTATATTAATTAGAATTGATCTCAAAACAGCCAACAATCAGATTCAGCTACTTTTTTATAGTAACACATGGTTCAAGTATATTTTTAGAGTGAGTTCATTTGCTAAGACTGCAAATTGTTATTTAGTTTAGTTTATCTAAGCGATTAACTGGAGTTTGCTTTCCACACTATGAAGTTGTCCTATTGTAAATCAGAAGTAGGCAATAATCTGACAGTGAAGATTCATCTTGGAAATCATGATCATTATATGACTGAACTTGACATTGGGCTTGAGAAGAAATGAAAGTCACAAACCAGGATTTTAAATTTCAGTGAGGCAGAAGGGATGAGACATTACCTGGGCTTAAGCTGTTAGTTCGTAAACCTAAATTCAGATATTAGGAAGCATGCATATGAAAGGCTAGTAGGTATACCTGAAAGGCAACATGTCTACTTGTGAAACATTATTGAAAAAATGGTCAACAACTGAGTATTAAAGACAATATCACTCTAGGAGAAAGTCTCCCACAAATGCAAGGGAATTCATGAATTAGAAAAGGGACGCCAAACAGACACTCACAATATCATGAGGTGTAAAAATATGAATATTAAAAGCAACTTACAAAAGAAAGCAAAGCTAACCTGATTTTTTTTGATAAAGCTGAAAGCACTGAGAGAGAGTGCGGTAGTGGAGAAAATAATTGAGATTATAATTAACGGCAGGCATGTTAAATGAATAGTTTGTTTCCGCTTTTATAGTGGGAGAGGAAAACAAATTACCGGTGGAATAAAACACCTAAAAAGGAAGGAATTTGGTGAATTTAGTATAAACTTTTAACATGGGAGTGGTGTAATATTAGGACTCAAGGCAAACAATTCTCCAGGTTGTGATGGTTTCCACCCCAAGATACTATTGATAAGGAAATTACAGCTCTATTACAATTATCAAGATATCTCTAGTTTTGTTAATAGTACTAGATTGGAAAATTGTAACCATCATATTATTTAAGATGGAAAGCATGTCAGTAGTTGAGACATTACTGGAATTAGTCTTACCAACGTGAGAGTGATTGAGAACTTGGGTATGAATAAATAAATCAGAGTATCAGCTTGGATTTTTGAAGGGCAGATGGTGTCTGCTTAATTAAATCGATTTCTTTTGTGAAGATAATCATCAGCACACTAGCTAGGGACAAGGCTGTGTGGATTTCTAGAAAGAAACTTCGAAGAGTAGGCGCGGGTATAGGCCATTCAGGCCTTTGAATCTTAACCGCATTTCGGTATGATCATGACTGATTATCCAACTCTGTGTTCTGTTCCTGCTTTCTCCACATACCCTTTGATTCCTTTAGCCATTGAACAGTATCTGACTCCTTTTTGAAAATATTGGCCTCAACTGCTTTCTGTGACAAGGGATTCCACAAGCTCACCACTCTGAGTGAGAAAAAAATTATTCTTGTCTCAGTCTTAAATGGCTTACCTTATGTTCCTCATGCTGTGACTCCTGGTCCGGAGACACCAGTCATCTTGAAGATCCTACCTGCATATGTCCTGTATAAACCTGTCAGAATTTTATAGGCTTATATGAGATCCTTATTCTTCTAAACTCCTGTGAATATAGGAGCAGAATTAGGTCATTTGGCTCATCGAGTCAGCTTCACCATTTGATCATGGCTGATCTGTTTCTCAACTCCATTCTCCTGCCTTCTTCCCTTAACCCTTGATCCCTAATCAAGAACCTACCTATCACTGTCTTAAATACATTCAATGACTTGGCCCCCACAGCTGTCAGCTGCAATGAGTTCTACAGATTCACCACCCTCTGGCTGAAAAAATTCCTCCTCATCTCAGTTTTGAGGAGTTGTTCCTTCACTCTGAGGTTGTCTCTTTTGGTCCTAGTCTCTCCTACTAGTGGAAACATCTTCTCCACATCCACTGTATCTAGTCCTCTCAGTGTTCTGTAAGCTGTAATGAGACATCAACCACTGCCTATCGCCCACATCCTTCTAAACTCCATTGAGTACAGACCAAGAGTCCTCAACCCCTCTTCATATGACAAGCCGTTCATCCCTGGGATCATTCCTGTGGACCCGCACCAAGGTCAGCATTTCCATCCTTCGATATGGAGCCCAGAATTGCTCGCAATATTCCAAATGACCAAAGTCTTACACAGCCTCAGCAGTACATTTCTGTTTTTCTATTCTAGTCCTCTTTAAATGAATACTAACAGTGTATTTGCCTTCCTAACTGCCAATTGAACCTGCATGTTAACCTTAAGAGAATCCTGAGCTAGGATTCTGAAGCCCCTTTATGCTTTAGATTTCCAAAGCCTTTCCCTGTTTTGAAAATAGTCTATGCCTCTTCTTCCTTCCAAAGTGCATAATCTCACACTTTCTCATTGTATTCTATCTGCCACTTCTTTGCCACTCTCCTAGCCTGTCGAAGTCCTTCTACAGCCTCCTCGCTTCCACAACATCACCCAGCCCTCCACCTATGTTTGTGTCATCTGCAAATTTAGCAACATTGTCCTCAGTCCCTTCATCAGATCATTAATGTATAATGTGAATAACTGTGGTCCCAACACTGACCCCTGTATAACTCCACTAGTCACTGACTGCAATCCTGAAAATGTCCTCTTTATTCCCTCTCTGTGCCTTCTGTCAAGCCATTTTTGAGTGAAATTAGGAAACGCAGACAGGATAGTTTAAATCTACAATATACTCTCCCCAAAAGACTGAAAATGCTGAACAAATTGAAATTTTAAAATCTACAGTGATAGTTATTTCTTGAGTCTCAAGTCATATGGTAGATAAATGGAATTGAGGTAGAGATCAGCAGTGTTCTTATTAACTGGCAAAACAAGATTGAGGGTTAAATGGCCTCATAATCCAAGCAAAGTTTTACATATGCACATGGATCCCAATTGAAATATAAATTTAGTCACTGAATGTGCCAGATGTTTAGTTTTGAAAACTAAACTAATGACTGTCTCCAGTAAGCATGTGTGTCAGTTTGAGTTTTTCACTTCTTTGCTTTTTAAAAATTGTACTTTCATTGTTGTATCAATTGCCTTTATTGGTGGTCTAATGCAGGATAAGCCTGAGATTTTTTAAACTAAGGATTCTTTTGAATATCAATCTTTTGTGGTCTAAATAACTACTTTCAGAAACAAAGCATATTTTGTGCCATTTTACAAAAATCACTTTCATGAAAAACAAAACATTTTAGAGTCTTAATCACAATTTCTCTAAATTAAAAAAATTCTGGCTGTGATCTGTTTAGGGCTGTGGTGCATAATTCTACAGTTCTCAAAGGTTAAAGTTTGCTTGTTTCAGAATTAATGTGGAGTATTACATTAAGTTAAGAGAAACAGGAGTGGGCTTGGTTTGCTGAGTTTTTCATGCTATTATGTTGATTGAGATATTCATAACATGAAAAAGTTTTTATAAGTTGTGGTGCTCCCAGTTGTTCCTGATTTCCCCCCTCCTCTCCTGGGAATGTTCCTGGGTGTTTTGTGGATTTATTCTCCCCTTTACACTTGCTTGCACTGGATTTCTCTTTTGAGGCTCCCCTGTATTTCTCTCTCTTGCAATGCTACAGCTGTATTTGGCTGCTCTGGACAATGGTAGCCATCTGAGCTGGCAGCCAAAGAACCGCAACAGTGTGAGAACGAACTCTTACTGGTAAAGAAGGCAGCAAACCAGAACAGGTACTGAAATATGGCTTTTTATCCCATTCCCTACTGCTTTAAGTTTTTTTTAAGTATTCAACCTTGCTAAATATTATTTTGAATGAGCAACTCTTCCCCCACTTCTGATTCTCAAAAGTAGCACCTTTCAGCCAGCACACCATTTTAAGTGGACACTGGAGCATTGCTTTGTTGCTCCATTCCATATAGCTTCTGATTCTCTTTCAAATATATGTTTCGCTAAATAGCGCAGAAGAATAAACATTACAATGCATTTTATATCTTATGTCACTGTTGCTTTTAGCTGTCAAAATGACACCTTGCTGAATAGCATGGATAAGCAATGGAGCAAGGCTCCAGATCCCATTCATTAGTAGGGATGTCACAGTAGAGATTTTGATATGATGCATTGGTATGGAAAACATATCCTTGCCATTTTGAAAATTCATGGTTAGCATCCACAGGAAGACCATAACATTCTGTTAAAATTTGCTTCTTTTTTCATCAGATCAAATGGATTAGTGCAAATACTGTTGACTTTGTACTATCCTTGTACACATTATTTCAATATCTTTACCAAAGTTTTTAACTTACCAGTTGGATCAATATCAGAAATATATTTAACCTCTGAACATCTGTCTTGTAACATTTTGGGTTTTTTTTTAAAGAACCCCTCTAACTCCTTTCGGTAAAGGTAAGATTACATGATGAGTGTGTTATTTATTTCAAAGAAATTTTTAAAAGATCATTAATTTATGGTACCAATTATGTGACATCCCTGTTATATGCTTGTATGCACACCAAGGAATGCAGAGAATGTAGGTGGCCACTGAAGCATAGCTTGAACACTTGAGCACTGTGATAACCTTTTGTTGCACCAGAATTATTTTAATTTTATAATTTTTTTTAGCTTGCTCAGAAAATGCTATAAAATGTTTTGTTTCCATGTTTTTCTAATTGTGATTTGTGAAAATGCAAAATTTTGACAGTGGAAACATAATGGTATCGCTATTATTTCAAAGGAACTTCAAATTTTTAGGTGTTGTTTCTTCACTAACAGTGGTTCTGGTTTCCCAGAATAAATCCTGTACTGCACATGTTTTTAATTCATTCAAGGGATGAGGGTGTCGCTGGCTAGGCCAGCATTTATTGCCCAGAGGGCAATAGTTAAGAGATAAATTGCTGTGGTCTGGAGTCACACGTAGGCCAGACCAGGTAAGGATGGCAGTTTCCTTGCTGAAAGCTTGGAATGATCTGGGTTTAGGGTGCGAGGGGCATGTCTGGAATGATCCGGGTTTAAGGTGCGAGGGGCAAGGCTTAAAGGTGATGTACGAGGCAAATTTTTTTACACAGAGGGTGGTGGGTGCCTGGAACTCGCTGCCGGGGCAGATAGTGACTTTTAAAGGGCATCTTGACAAATAAATATATGAATAGGATAGGAATAGAGGGATACGGTCCCCGGAAGTGTAGGGGGTTTTAGTTGTGATGGGCAGCATGTCATTGCAGGCTTGGAAGGCCAAAGGGCCTGTTCCTGTACTGTAATTTGCTTGTTCTTTGTTCTTTGAAAAAACATTAGTAATGTGTTTTTCTGACAATCAACAATAGACTGGTCATTATTAGACTCTTAATTCCAGATTTTTTTTGTTGCATTCAACTTCTACATGGCAGGATTTGAACCTGGTCCGCAGAACATTACCTGGGTCTCTGGATTAACAGACCAGCAATAATACCACTAATCCCTCGTCTTCCCCCGAATGGTGTTCCAAATGGAAATTGAGATTTGCTTTGTCATCTTTAAGACTAAAATTCACGCCTTTATATAAATTGTATTGATGCAAAATCTTCTATGCTAAACAAAATGTGGGTATGGTTTATACATCAACTAAATTATAGTGCCCACTGGAATATGTTCCTGTTGCCTTCTGCTTAACGTGTAAGGGAAATGCACAAAATGTAGCAATTAATAAATATCACTACTTCTGTTGCACTTAGTTTACAATACTTACTTGCTTAATCAGCCTAAAAAGTCATTGAGATATAGCATTTTTTATTACGTAGTCAAATAATTAAGAGAAGGATTTTATTGCTGATTTTATTTTCCTTTTAACATTGGGAAGTTTGAAAAGGATTTAAAATATATTAATTATATTGAATAATGAAGCAACTTGAACATATATTAAAATAAAAATCTGATCCGTAGCCACTTTATTGAGTGCAAGTCTGAAGATTATGCTGGGATGATGGACAGACTCCACTTGAAAGTTTTGGATTAGGATATATGCTTTGGTCGAGGCTGCAGAAAATAGCAACAGAAATTATCACTGAAGGAAGTTAAGATGCATTAGCCACAGTGCAGTGCAGAAAAAAAAAGCATGAAGTGGAATCTTGCTTGAGATTTGTTGAATAGCTCATTCAACTCCAGTGTTACGGCGCAGAAGGAGATCTATTGTCATTGTACCGGCTCACCAAATAGGCATCATGACTCCCTGCCATTCTCCTCCCTTTACCACATGCCCTTGCATATTGTTTCTACTTAAATAATCATTCCATGCCTTCTTGAATCCCTCAATGAAACCTGCTTCCACCACACTTTTAGGCAGTATATTCCAGATCTGAAGGATACTTGTATGAAAAAGTTCTTTCTCACATGACATTTACTTCTTTTGCAAATCTGTGCCCTCATGTTCTTGATTCTTTTATAAACGACAATATTTCTCTGTATCTGCTCTATCCATTCTTGAAAACTTCTTTCAGATCTCCTGTAACCACTTTTTTTCCAAGGAGAACAGCTTCTCCAATCTATGTTCATTCCTGAACATTCTTGTCCTTGGAACCATTTGTGTAAATCTGTTCTGCATGCTCTTGATCATTCACAGCCTTCCTATAAGTGTGGCACCGTGAAGTGTACAAAGTGCTCCAATTGAGGTCCACCAAGTTAAGTTAACCTCACCTCCTTCCTCTTGTGCTCTGTGCCCTTATTAATAAAGCTGAGGATACTGAATGTTTTACTAAGTGCTGTCTTCACCTGCCCTGCCATCTTCAGTGATCTGTGCACATATACACCCAGGTCAGTCTGCCTGTGCACCCCCCTTAGAATTGAACCCCTTATTCTATGTTGTCTATCCATGTTCTTCCAAACACAAGGCATCGTCTGTTACTTTTCTGTATTAGATGACATTTGCCAGCTATCCATCAACTCCACTATCTTTTGAAGTTCTACATTGTCCATTTCATTATCATCTACAAACTTGGAAATTGTCCCCTGCCCACCAAGATCTAGATCATTAGTGTATGTTCAGAGAAGCATGGGTGTTCATACTGATCCCTGGGGAATATGATAAAAGAAATCTGACCAGGAGTAAGCCATTCAGCCCCTCAAGCCTGCCTGCTAATCAACAAGGTCATTACTGATTTGCCTCCAGTCTCAACTGCTCTTTTTCTCGAGCTCCGCTTAGCCCTTTAACCCATACTAATTTAAAATATGTCTATCACCTTAAGTTTATTCAGCATACCAGTGTCCACTACACTCTGATGTGGTGGATTCTACAGATTGACAACCCTTTGAGAGATGTAATTCCTCCTCCCCTCTGTTTTAAATCTGCCAAGCTATAGCCTAAAACTATGACCTCTTATTCTAGATTGTCTCCCCTTATGGAGCGTCCACTTGATATTTATATTGTCAATCCCCTTCAGCATATTGTATATCTCAATTAGATATTCTCTCATTCTTCTCAACTCAGACGAAGGTTTTGAATGATCTGGAATGCAGTGCCTGAAACGATGGTGAAAACCGATTCAGTGGTAACTTACAAACGGGAACTTCTGGATAATGGGGAATGGACAGGAGAATGGGTCTAGTTGAATAACTTTTTCCAAGAGCTAGCGCAAACAGTGCCAAATGGATTCCTATGTTATATCACCCTATGACTCACAACTACTTTCAAAACAATAACTGTACTATTCCTTTTTCACATTGCCTTTCGATTGAATCATTAAACAGCTGCCCTCCCAATCACCTCCAGGAAGACCAGGAGTAAATGTGAGTAAATCCTATCCCTAAGAATCTTATCTAGTAATTTTCCTATCACCGATGTAAGGCTCACCAGCCTATAATTTTCAGATTATTCCTGTTGCCCTTCTTAAAGAGAGGAAAACATTGGCTATTCTCCAGTCGTCTGGGACCTCATCTGTGAGTGAAGGGGGTACAGAGATCTCTGTCAAGGCCCCAGCAATTTCCTCCCTTGCCTCCTTCAGTATCCTGGAATAGATCCCATCAGATCCTGAGGACTTAACTAACTTAATGTTTTTCAAGACACCCAACACACTCTTCCCCTTAGTATCAACATGCCCTAGAATATCAACATACTCCTCCCTGATCTTACCATCATCCATGTCCTTCTCCTTGGTGAAATCCAATGCGAAGTACTCATTAAGGACCTCACCCACTACATTCAGTACCATGCATAAATTCCCTCTTTCATTTTCTTGAGTGGATTTACCCTTTCCATCACTACCCTCTTGCTCCTAATATACATATAAAATGCCTTGGGATTCTTCTTAATCTTACTTGCCCAAGACATTTCGTGGCCCCTTTTAGCCCTCCTGATCCTTGTTGAAGTTCTTTTGCTGGTTCCTTTATATTCATCAAGCACTATTCTGATTTCAGTTTTCTAAACCTTACATACGCTTCCTTCTCCTTTTTGACTAACTTTCAATATCTCTTGTTATTCAGTGTTCCTGGAACTTTCCATCTTTACCTTTCATCCTCACAGGAACATACTTGTCCGGAGCTCTGATCAACTTCTCACAGGAGCATGCAGGTGATAGAGTCATACAGTACGGAAACAGACTCTTCGGTCCAACTATAATCCCAAAATAAACTAGTCCCACCTGCCTGCTCCTGGCTCATATCCCTCCAGATCTTTCCTATTCATGTACTTATCCAAATGTCTTTTAAATGTTGTAATTGTACTTGTCCTAAACTCTGATCAACAGTTAGTTCCTGAGGAACAGTCAAAAGT